ACAAAAAGCAATCTATACTTATTTACTTCTCTCAAATCCCTTATAGCACTTCAACTAACGGTTTTCAATATACAGTACAATGCAGTGAATTGTTGCCAATGTATAGAAACTTTGATCTCTACAATAGGAAAATATAAATCTACAATTTTTTACACATTGAACTTTTTTTGAACAACACTTTTGGACAGAGATTTATATATTAAATATATTTTTTCCGATTTTTTTATTCAATTAGACTATAATTTCTTATATAAGACCCGACAAAGAGAGAAAGAGAGAGAGAGAGAGAGAGAGAGAGAGAGACTACTGGGCATTGATATAAATCACTAATCCCGGTGCCCGTTAACGTACGGATCCCAACATCCTATGCCTATTCAATCTGTTTTCATATACAATGATATAGTAATAGGAAGTGACTGTTGTGTTGGCATTCAATGTTCAATAATCTACACTATGTTATATTATTACAGTATATCCATAAAAAATTGCCCAAGATTATCTACTACCCCATACTATGCATTGGTTTATATACATTATATTAAATAATCTAGCTTACAATCGTTAATTGCCATTTGTGTAATGCATTCCGATATAATTATTGTGTTTGTTTTTCATTGTGGTAAACAATTTTGCGAAATGTTTTTTCCCAAAACAGACTTTTTAAGGATTTTCTCTCAAATTGATTGAATATTTCCACTGAAAAAAACTAACAAAACATTTCGTATAACAAAACAAAATATATCGATAAATAAGTCTTTCAAACCGATAATATTTAGTCACGAATTAATACTCTGTTTATATGTCAGCACAAGAAAAAATAACATACAATATATGATTGTATATAAAGTGTATATAAATTACAATACCGTCGCATAATTTGGGTGGTCTTCGCAGGTATAAGCCCTAAGTCTCGTTGAATTACATTATAATATATAACTTATATCTTATATGTGTTTAAATCTGCGGCTCAACAGAGAGAGAGAGAGAGAGAGAGAGAGAGAGAGAGAGAGAGAGATCATTCAATATTTGCAATCTATCCGTCATTTCGATGTATATCTCACTTATTATCGCAAAAACGGGAAAAAACTAAAACCAAAACTAAAATAAATGAATTTCTTATCGTATTTTTTTGTCTGATTTTCTTTTCACAGACAAAACAAACACTGAAATCGATTTATAATAATAATAAGTATTTGATTTTTATTATATTTTTTCTTCACTCTCTTTATACATATCACTGATGTGTTTGTGAAGTGAAAACTCAATTGAAAACTAATCTAAGATTTTTCTCAACAAATATATTGAAAGGAATTTAATGGAAATCTTTATATAAAAAATATAACACAAAATCTAAGCGAAAAATAACAGATAAAGTAAATATTAAAAACAATATCATATTAAATGTTTACTTATATTTTAATATTCAATAAATACCATAATATACTCGTATAAAGTATATCGTACGAAAATATTATTTTTAAAAATTAATAATAAGTAAAATGTTAAAAGTCTTACAACAAGTGGTCAGAGAAATAAAACGGGAATTTATTTTACTTTTTATTTAATATATTTTAAAAGCAAATTAAATCCCTTTAAACATCCTTAATCTTCATGTTTTTCCCTCATTGTCTGGGAATATAATATCCATATAAAACATGGTAATAATAATAAACATGATTGAACAAAAAAAAAACGATAAAAATAACCCTCGATGCTATTGTCATTTGTTAAAAACATGGTATTTCTATACATTGATTGCGAAATATTACACAATATTCATTGCGTAAGACATGTTGTTATGAATAACAATATATTAAATGACAAAATACTTGTTATAAGAATATAATAAATATTTTATAATAAAATCTATTATATAAGCCAACAGTGATATTAGTGTACGTGTAGTGCGTTCTCTCTCTCACACTCTCTTTGCCTCTGATCGCTGCCTACAGGCAGAGCCTTAAGCAATACACGAGAACGCTATGGAAAAGGCCTAATGTTTGCAAAGTTGGTGTGCAATTATATACCCCTTTTAATGGGCAATAAGCTAGTATATTATGTAAAAACACTCATTATAAGTGTTTATATAAAAATGGCATTTATAATTGTTGATAGTAAATATATTTAACTTAATATAATTATTTACCATCTGATTAAGTGTTAAATTAAGTGTGAGATTAATAGTGTTTAATACAGTATATAAATGATTATTAAATAATTCTTCACAGAACTTCACTAAACTGTTTTTGACAAATAAATTATTTTTGTATGTAATATATTTATTTAGAATATAAATTATAAATAGATGATAATTGAAGTCTTAAACGACACATAATTAATTAAATTTATGATACTTTTATATTAAAAATTTGAATAAAGTTTATAAAATACATATTTCACGTATAAAATGAGTGCTAAAAGTAATGCGAAAAGTGTTAATAGTGTTGACAAAGTGTTTGGTTTAGAAGAGTTGGTGATAAAGATCTTTTCATACCTCGAGATCCATGAGTTGATTGGTTTGGAAAGAGTCTCAAAACAGTTCCAGTTTTGCGCAAACTATTGGTTCCGACAACAGAAGACAATATCATTTAACGAGAATTGGTGTGAAATCGTTATATTTAAGCCAAAAATTGATGTCATTTATAACGGCTATACATTTCCCAAACAATATCTTGAGACCAGTTCTTATGGAAAGTTATGTCTTATGCGAAACAAAGAGCGGATCATTTGGTTGTCAAAAAAGTTACCAAACATTGTATACTTAGGAATCGGTCACTTCGATGGCGATTACCAGACATTGCATGATATTCTCGAAACGTTTCAATCAATCAAATGGTTAGAAATGTGTGATTTAAGTGAAGCTGTGATGAGACACTTCTCGGCTCAAAAATACCAACAATTGGGACAACTCTTGTCGGGAAGAGTTACCAAACTTACGGCCAGTCTTTGTCGTCACAATTCTGTGGATATTATTGAAATGATACGAGAGATGAAAGGATTGACAAAATTAGTCATTTCTTTTAATAAACCTCAAGATTTTACGCAATTATTTAATTATTTGCCGCAAACTATTCAATCATTGAGATGTAAATCTAGTTATGGGATGCAATACACTAATAATATTGTAACAAATTTATTGCAAAGTAATGCAAAACATTTACAGCATTTATATCTCAACGGCTCTTATATTAGTGAAGAATCACTGGAACTCATTAACAATTGTATGGCATTGAAAACGTTTGACTTTTATTTGAAATCTTTAATCCAATGGCAATGTTTGCAAAAAGTGGCCAAAAGACAGACAAATCTTGAATATCTGGGTATTTATTTTCAAGATTTTTGTGATTATAATTACCCAAAAAATATCATTCAATTTTCAAAAGTGAAAACACTTTTTATGAGTAATTGTAATCTTAAAGAAGAAGTGTTTGTATCGCTAATGAAATGCTTTCCAGTACTCAAAACATTAGTCTTAAGCCGAGTTTCCATTGTCTGTGAAGTCAATGGAGACAACGATGAAGAATATTCTGTGACATGTTTTCGGCAAATGTATGGTTTGATTGCTAAACACACTGCTATCGAGACTTTGAGTCTTTTTTGTATTGAAAATACAGCCGTTTTATGTCAAATTCTCAATGATTTTTCCTATTTATCGGCTATTCATTTGAATCATTACATTGAATACAACGCTGAAGAGTATGAAAATGTTTGCAAACAATTTATCACTAATTTAATTGATTTTAACTCAACAAACACGAAGAAAATGTTCACAATTTGCGTTAATAATAATACCGGAGATCTAAGTATTGATCGCCAATTACCCAGAAATTTACAAATCAGTAAATGTTTGTATTGAATTAAATTTATTCATACAATTAAAGTAATTATAAATTATTATACTAAATATTTGTAAATACAAAAATCAGAATAATTTTGTAATAAAAATATAAACGTAAAAAAGTATTTTAATATAATATAAAATGACAAAAATAATTCTTATTAAATACATTTATTTATTACTAATTTATAAATATAATGTATTTAACGACAATTCGTATGAATAATATTCATAGATAACGGAATTTAAAAATATTTAAAAGGAAAGCAAAAACAAACGAGTGATACGAGTGTATAATGTTTTCCTGTGAGAGATGAGAAAGTTGTTATAAACTACAGTATTTTATAATTGTTATTTTCAAGGACTGTCATTGTTTACATAATTATATTTACGTATATTATCTAACACATGGTTAATTAGTAATGCATAATTAGAAAATGCACCATTTATTATTGTAGATCAATTCATAGTTATTTATGTTTGTATGATTTGTTATAAACACCATTAAAAATTATTTACGCAAAAATTACATTGATTCTCAGTGAATGAATATTTATTTTTAACATGTTATATAAATGTTTGTATTTATATTGAATTTACTGTTAATAATTATGAAATAATAAATAATTTCTTATAATTGAATTTTCAATTTTTAAAAGTCATTTGAAATGTAATTAATTAAACTTTTATTAGACATTAGATATTTTATGTTAAAAATTTATATTAAAAATGACAATAAAAGTGTTAATAGCGTTGAGAAAGTGTCTACAATTGAAGAGTTGATGATAAAGATGTTCTCATATCTAACTATTGATGATTTGATTAGTTTGGAAAGAGTCTCAAAATTACTATCTTATCTTTTTAATTATCACTGAATTGTATGTAAAATGTATTGATAGACTATTTGTGTGAAAAATATTTATTGAAAATGAATATTAAAAATATTTCTAAATAAATTTAAATGCAAACTTGAGATAATAGTGTGAAATCAGTTGTTATGAGTGATGGGAGTGTTTTATAACAGTCGTGCGATTGTATTATTTTTCAAGTATTTTAATTTATTACATAATCGCATATATAATCTGACATTTATTTAAATATTGATATACTATATGTTTATTATTATATAATGACGCCATTTATCCAAGTATATTTTAATTGAATGAAAGTATTAACCATGTTCAATTAAATGTGTCAATCATTATAATTATTACTCTAATAGAAGATCAATAGTTGTGTTACAAAAGAGTGATTTGATTCGTATTTAAATTTACATTTTAATCACTCATTTAACTGTCAGAGTATTGTATTGACTGAAACAGTGCTCATCACCGATACAATGGATCCGTCGTTGACGTGTCAATCGTATGGCATATTCTGGGACATCGAGAACTGTGCCATACCTTCAATGGAAAGGGCGGCGACTGTTGTGCAACGAGTGAAACAATTTATTGCCACCAAATTTGAGTCAACTGTTGGCCAACGACCGGAGCCGTGTGTCTTCATCTGCTCGTGCGATACGCGAACTTTGGACGCCCGACACGTGGAGGCCCTCAACAGGTATGGCGTCGACATATTGCACGTGAATGCCGTACGCGTGCCCTACAAAGTGGACGCCGACTGTAAGCTCATGGAGTGTATGCAGAAGTTTACTGATCATCACCGCAACACAAATCCCATGTTTTTGATTACGGGTGACATTGACTTCGCGCCGGCCATCCGTGCGGCCAAACGCCGCGGCTTTCAAGTGATTCTGCTGTTCGGCGGCAACGCCTCCGAAGATCTCAAGCACACGGCCTCTGAATCGCATTCGTATAACAGTATTATCGGCACCGAAGACATGGAGTCCCGCAGTAATAACGCTCGCACGCCGTCGGGCGCCCACTCCAGTGCCGCTGTAAATCCGCAACTAATCCCTTTGCAAATCCCTCAGCAAAACCTTCAACTAATCCCTCAGCAAACACTTGAGCCAAACCCAGAGATTGACGAAAACAAAGTCAAAATGATTGAAGAGGTGACGGGACTCGACCGACACATTGCCATCGAAGCCCTCAACACCTATCGGGGAAACATTACTTTAGCCATCACTGCACTCATTGACAATTGAAGACATTTGTCTTGCCTTTCATATAATTTACTGACAATTAAAAAAACGTATTTTTAATTTAGAGAATTATATTTTGAAATAATTTAGTTGTAAATATTTTTTCTAAGAATTAATATTTTTGTCTAAATATTTTAAGCGATTAATATTTTGTGTTAACTTTTCTGTTATGCAATTAAAAAAGAAATATTATTTTTAATTAAAATGAATGATAACATTGAAGGTATTATTATGCATTTATTGTTTTTTGTTTTTGCAACTTATTTTTATAGACAAAATCCTTAATAATTTTGATTTTGCTAACAATTTATTAAATAATTTAACAACATTTCTAAAAGATGTATAATATATTGTATTTTATCATCAGAATCAGCGCAACATCTATTACTATGGCAACTATACATTACATATACAGTACAATTACGTAATATCTCCGACAATAGTTGTCATAGTATTCAGAATCTTATTAATCCTATGATAAAGACTCTATATATGGTACTAAAAGTGATTATCCGGTTTGCAATAACCATATAAACATAATAAACACTTTCTAATGTCAGACATTGTTGTTCTGGTTTATAATTATTAAAATCTATTGTATATTAAATTGAATTATTTATAAATATATTTAATTTAATAGCAAAAAATCTATAGTTAATTTAAGAGTATAATGTTGGCAAATATGAAAAGGTATTTTAACTATAAATTATAAATAATAATAATTTACTTTATTAAAACATATTTCTATTAAATTCTTAATTAATTAAAGATATTTCACGAGTAAGAAGAGTGCTAAAAATGATGCGAAAAATGTTAATAGTGTTGACAAAGTGTTGGGTTTAGAAGAGTTGTTGATTAAGATATTCTCATATCTGACTATCGATGAGTTGATTGGTTTGGAAAGAGTCTCAAAACAGTTCCAGTTTTGCGCCAACTATTGGTTTAAACAACAGAAGAGCATTGCATTCAATGAGAAGTGGTGTGGAATGGATTACAATAAGCCTAAGAAAGATATCGTTTTAAATCGCTATACTTTTTCACCAAAATTTCTTGAGACCCAATCGGACGGAAAGTTAAGTCTTATTCAAAACAACGAGAGAATCATTTGTTTGTCAAAGAAGTTACCAAACATTGAGTACTTAGGAATCGGTCACTTCGACACCGATTACAACACATTGATTGATATTCTCGACGCATTTCAATCAATCAAATGGTTAGAGATATGCGATTGCAATCAGTTTACGGATCCAGAGATGCGACAATTGGGACAACACTTGTCGGGAAGAGTGACTAAATTAACGACAAACATATGTGACATATATTCAGAAAATGTTATTCAAATGATTCAAGAATTGAAAGCATTGGAAACACTATCCGTTAATTTGGGTGAACGCGAAACTATCGCTCAATTATTGAAATGTTTGCCTAAAAGTATGCAATCATTGCATTTGGGAACAAAGCATAAAGTCTTAATTGATAAACAATTGGTCACAAATCTGTTGAAAAGCGATGCAAAACATTTGCAATATTTATATCTATTAAATAATTTGGTCTCTAAAGAGGCACTGGAACTGATCATCAATGGTATGGCATTGAAAGCGTTTGCATATTGTTTCTATAATAAGTTAAATGAATGGCAATGTCTGCAAACATTGGCCCAAAAACAGACAAATCTTGAATATCTTGGTCTTAATTCTCAAAGTTTTTGTGATTATCAGTACTCGAAAAATATTATTGTTTTCCCAAAAGTGAAAACCCTTTGTCTCTATCATTGCAAACCTAACGAAGAAGTATTTGTATCGCTATTGAGATGTTTCCCAACACTACAAACACTTTCTATGAACGGAACATACATTGCTTGCGATCACAATGAAAATGATGTTTGTTTGGCATGTTTTGGGAAAACTTATGATTTGATTGCAAAACACACGACAATTGAAACATTGAGTATTCAAATGAAAAATTTGGGCGAAAAGACATCTGTTTTGTGTGAAACACTCAATGACTTTTACAATTTATCGGCCATTTATTTGGATTATTTTTGTAATTACGATCTAAAAGATTACACTAAATATTGTAATCAATTCATAAATGTTTTCATGGATTGCTATCCACAGGAGTCGAAGAAGTTGTTCACAATCTGTGTTCACAACAATACCGGAGATCTCACTAATGGTCGACTAATACCCGAAAATTTGAAAATTAGCAAAATTTTGTGTTGAAAACACTATTTAGTCAAAGATATCTTAATTAATTTTAAGTCATCTCTAAACTCGCTGAATAACTTTTATAATTATATGTTTTGAATATTGTTTTAATATAAATAAAATGTTTTAACTTCATTAAATAAAATACAAGATTAAATAAATATTAGTCTTCTTATCTACTACTCTAGTTATCAATAATAATTAAACAATAAATTTTTGCAGGTTAATCAATAGCGCTTGAAATGTATAGAATTTTAATATTTAATTCTTAAAAAAATTTAATAATAAAAATTATTTTCAAAATTTTGCACAAAATTACAATTCAGTGTAAAATCATTCAAAATGAGTGCCTATAAATTGCATGGTGGGAAAAACAGGTCACTGTTACCCAGTATAAATTAGCATAGGTGCCAAACCTGTGTATTCATAATTACATATATCTAGCATGGTGGAAAAAACAGGTCACTGTTACCCAGTATAAATTAGCATAGGTGCCAAACCTGGGTATTCATAATTACATATATCTAGTTTGGTGGAAAAAACAGGTCACTGTTACCCAGTATTAAGTAGCATAAGTGCTAAACCTTGGTATTTATAATTACATACAAATAACATGGTGGAGGAAACAAGTCACTGTTACACAATATAAATTAGCTTAGGTGCCAAGTTTGGGTATTGATAAATGTATAACATTTAAAAACTGTTTCGCACAGAGCTTGTGCCATTTACAAGTCTGCATTGCTATATGCTGTATGGGCGCGATCACAAAAATGGCCATATCTCGGTCGTTTATATTGTTTATTTTGTCTAAACTACACAATTAGTGGCGTTTTATTAGGTTCTAGTCACTTAAAAAGTAATTCCTTGTTAGTAGTGATCGACAAATATCCGAAAACTTGAAAATTAGGAAAATTTTGTGTTGAAAACACTATGTATTCAACGATTTCTTAATTTATTTTAAGCCATCTTTAAAACTCGCAAAATTACTTTCAGTAATTGTAATACTTTCAGTATTAGTCTACCTATTAGTGATATTTAATCAATAAATGTTTGCAGTTTAATCAATAGCGCTTGAAATGTATAATTTTTTAATATTTAATTGTTAAAATTTTAATAATAAAAATAATTTTTAAAGTTTGTCACAAAATCACAATTCAGTGCGAAATCATTCTGAAAACATCTGAAAACAGTTGTCTTGAACAACGATTTGGTGATTGAGATCTTCTCATACCTCGAGATCCATGAGTTGTTACTTCTGGAGAGAGTCTCAAATCAGTTCCAGTTTTGCGCCAACTATTGGTTTCGCAAACAGACAAACATTGCTTTCAACACTACTATTAGTGTCGATCACTACAAGCCTAGGGATGATGTGATTCACAACTTATATACGTTTCCCAATCGATATCTTGAGAGCCATTCAGTGGGAAAGTTTTGTCTAAACGGAAGTATAGAAGTGATAATTTGGTTGTCAAAGAAGTTACCAAACATTCAGTATTTACTGCTCAATGACGTCGAGAACTCTCCAGAAAATTTCCAGATATTATACAGTGTTAGCCATCCGGCGTCTTAAGCTCCGCCCATAAATATAACCAATCACAGCAAAGTAGACTCGCGCTTTTGCATTGTGACACTCAAAGCGAACTCAAAACAGCGCATGTTTGAAGTTATATTTATGGGCGGAGCTTAAGACGCCCGATGGCTAACACTGTATAGCATATTTATATGAAACTGATTATGCTTAAATAATATAATATCTCCATGATGAATATTTTATCGTTTTATTTACGCATTAAAAATATTGTCTAATAAATAAAACATTAATAACCGATATTTTATCAATTTATAAATAAATGAATAATGATTACAATTAAAGATTTTATCAAATAATGTTAATCATTTTTTTTACACAATAATACATACACAATAAATTCTTTATTTGAAGATGATAAATATATTTGATAAAAATGTAGATAAAATAATATTTGTTACGACAATTGAACCGGAATTAATATTTTCTATTTGTTCATAATTATCACTTTTATGAGCTGATTTAAACTGATCAAGCTCGTTGCATCGTTGATGTTTAATACATTCATGGTGAAAGTTGCGTTCACGTATCAGTAGATTTACATTGATTTCATCATAATCCGTTGTAGTACAATGATCCTGGCACAATAAAAAATAAACTCATAATTAACACGTGTTATTAGTTTAGTAATAGTTTAATAATAAATAGCATAAATATGTAACTAGATTTAAAAATCTACCTTGGATAGTTGTAACCAACAATGATAAGTCATATAACGTACACAACACGAATAATCATTATGGTCCTCTTTATCAAGCTCATTTGGCGATCGACTTTTAATACAATCGTCTACTTTATCATTAATTATATCCCGACATGTATTAGAATAACAGCCAATAATGTTTAAATTAGTAATAAATGCCAAAACAATTACATTGAACAATATGTTCATAATTATTTTACATTAACAGTTTAACGTTTTCCTACTGTATTCACTGTAATGCAAACATGCTATTTATTAATGAGCTAATAAAATATATCACAGTCTGTATAATTGTTATGACGATGAAATTGTTTTGATGTTTTAATCAGCTATTTATCAGCGCATACCATAACATACATGTTATTTAATAAAGTATTGAAATACTATTTTAATTAATTTTATTGTATTAGATTTAAATGTTTGAAAGTAAATACAAGTATTATTTATTTATTTGTAATTTTAGATATTTTAATTACATAAAGTAATATGATATTTAATAATTTAA